TTATATATTATATAAATTTTTTTCTTTTTTTTTTGAAAAAAAATAAAAAAAAAAATACCATTATAAAGATATTTTATTTGGTTTTTTTTTTCCTTTTTTTTTTTTGAAAAAAAAATATAAAGTGAAATACAATAAGACAGAAGAAACAGACATATATTTAAGACAAATGATAACCCTACAAAATAGATGTTTAAGAAATGCTGTCTTTAGTTGAAAAAAAAAAATCATTAGAAAATATTTGAATTGCATAATTAAAATTATTAAAAATTTCCAACTTAGAGTAAGACACATATCAAAATAATTCAGCTTTTCAAAGACGCTCTATGAAATCCTTAGATGGATGAATTGTCAGACAATGAAAGCAATAACATCAAGATATAAAGTAAAGGTCTGTCAACATTTTCAAGATAACAAACAATAGGCCTATGTGGATTACCTCTGTACAGATATATGGGCATAGCGCCATATAACAAATAGGCCTATAATACAATATACATATTTGATTTTTTATGGAAGGAATTTGTTTTCCAAAAGAAATTAAATGGATGAATAAATATCACACCCACATACAGTATACAACCATATTTAAAGAGGGCAACCCTTCCAACTTCATGGTCCTCTTGAATAAATAAAATACATCATATAAGGCCCCATAAAAAAATTATTAGTTTATCACCCGCTCTCTCATCACTTTTGGGAAAAATCTGATTTTTTTTTTTTGATTTTTTTTTTCAATCAACATATTATATTTTCATTTCAAACGGTCCTTTTTTCACTTGAAAAGCTCAGGGTTCTTGCAAATATGCTTACTGGTACAACAAAAACATATTTTTTAAATATAAATTTGATTCCATTCTTATGACTTTTTATATATGTATCTCTAACCATTGATTTACTTGTGATCATCGGTAAAAAAAAAAAAAAAAACCTCCCTCCCTCATCAGTTTTTATTCTGTGATAGGATGATAAACTAATACATTTTTTTATGGGGCCTAATAAATCACCACTTAAATACAAAAATAAAGCATACATATAACTTATCAACAGTATCCACGGGGTGAAGCGAAGCGGAAATGTCCACAAATTTTGTTAATAACATTTAATGTTATCTTTCCCCTTAAGATACATTGAAAAGTATTATACACAATGTAAGCTGTTGCCATTCGTTTGGGGGTGCCTTATTTGTATTCTTATTATACACAACGTAAAGCTGTTGTCATTCGTTTGAGGGGCCTTATTTGTCTTCTTATTATACACAATGTAAAGCTGTTGTCATTCGTTTGAGGTGCCTTATTCGCCTTCTTATTATACACAATGTAAGCTGTTGTCATTCGTTTGAGGTGCCTTATTCGTCTTCTTATTATACACAATGTAAGCTGTTGTCATTCGTTTGAGGAGCCTTATTCGTCTTCTTATTATACGCAATGTAAACTTTTGTCATTCGTTTGTGGTGCCTTATTCGTCTTATACACAATGTAAGTTGTCATTCGTCTGGGCAGTGCCTTATTCGTCTTCTTATACACAATGTAAACTGTTGTCATTCGTTTTGGGTGCCTTATTCGTCTTCTTATTTTGTTTAGGCAATCTAACTTTTGTCGGTAGCAGCCGTTTGAACCTTGATGTCTTTTCTGGTGAGTTGGTTGCCTCTCGTTCCTGCAATGCCTCATCGACACCTAAAGACGTTAAATAAAAGTGGATTCAATTTGTTTGAAAGATAAGACAATCTAAAACGTGGATTTGTGTATACAAACATTGTGGTCAATCACCATCCCTCTTCCGCATTTACCGACTTGGTGGCTGGAAATGAAGCCTAGATTGTTTTAGTTGTAAGAAATCCTGGTTTTTAGGCGGGATTTGAAGCCAGGACCCCCAATGTTGGATATGGAAGATAATCATTATTAACCACCTGAGCTATTATAGCTCACACGGGCTTATCAAAACACTAAAATATAAGAACAGTCTTAAACATACGGTAGAGTATTAAAACAAAGATATGGTATAGTCTTAAATCAAGATATGGTATAGTCTTAAAACAAAGATATGGTGTCTTAAACCATGGATTTATTAATAGGTCCATGCTTAAACCAAATAATCTTAACAAAAAATAGAGTATGGTCTTAAAACAAAGATAGTACGGTATAGTCTTAAAACAAAGATATGGTATAGTCTTAAACCAAAGATATGGTATAGTCTCAAACCAAAGATATGGTGTCTTAAATTATAGATGTTATATACAGTTGTCTTAAACCAAGATAAATTTCTTCATAGACTCACTTGCTGGATACCGTGACTGTATAGGGTACAATCCCTTAACGGGCATGTTTATGTTTCTTTTGGCAACACCCTTGTGTGTACCTTTGCTGCATGTGTTACAGTAGAAGTACACAGCCGACGCGATGATCATTCCAACTATAACCAAAGCCGGTAATAACACTCCAACGATGAGAATCATGTAAGGGAAATTTGGCCGATCAAAATCTTAACAAAAAACAAATACAAATACAGTCAGTAAATATTCAGGTTTAATGCAATAATAATAATAATAATAATAATAATAATAATAATAATAATAATAATAATAATAATAATAATAATAATAACAATAATAATAATAATAATAATAATAATAATAATAATAATAATAATAATAATAATACTGATGATGATGATGATGATGATAATGATTATGATGACTATGTCAAGCGCCTCAAGCTTGGTCCAACGGGAAGCAAATACACATTGTAAATTATTATTATTATTATGATTAATATGATGAAGATAATGATGATTATTTAATGCCTTTTTTTTCTTATTGCGCTGACTTTTTTTAAGGCATCGTTTATTGCATTAATAGTTAGAGCACCAGAACTAGTACCTTTGTTATCTAAATTTGTTATTTTCTGATTTCACAAATAGGGAATTTTAATGTTTTGCAATACAATAAAATATTCTACTTACTCATTAGTACCATTTTCGCTATTTCCACATGCAGACAAATAGTGTCAGTGATTTCTAGCTTTTTAATTCTCTTTAAAATTAGAATACATGTCGTGGTAGTCTTACCTTGCGCACTGACTTGTTGTAAACAAATCGTCCAGAGAAAGAGACAAGTAATAAACATCTTAACTCGTTGAGTTAACATTTCACTTGTATTTCAACAAAAACAAAATCGAAAATAATCAGGGTGTCAGTGGAAACTTCGGCAATCGTCCCAGCACCAGTCGGACGCTGACACTCAGCTGAACGGAAATCACTCGTTATACACAAAGGCGATTTTTTTTTCTTTGATCCAATCTTCGACTTGCAATCAATTAGGTGTTTGAAGGCTAAATATAGTTTTGTCTTTATTCATGTTATAAATAATCAACTAACTTGTTGTTAGAGACTAGAACAGTCTACTGTACACCAATTTTAATAAGGATGCTTTAAATTAGGTTGCGAACTATCGTATGATTAACATTATCTGTTCATTATCCAATAGATGGCGCTGTTAATTTATCGTAAAATAATTTCATATGTTGAACCAGTCACATTGGTGAATTGAAGGTTTGACTTTATCCATGTTTATAATCTCTATAAACTCTTTTGAAGCACATTGCTTCAGAGAGATCGCCAACATTTTTACGCTAATATGAGTCATCCTTCACCATCACAATCATCATTATCATCACCGTCATCTTCCTCACACTAACAGACTCACCATCATCCGCTTTAACATTACTCACAAAAAAGTACCATCATCGTCACATCACATCATCAACAGTAGTTTTTATTATCATAACAGCTCCACAAAATGAGGCCTGAATTATTCTTGATATAGGCTTTTTGAGTCACCATTCAAAGGAGGCATAGCAATTCCTCAAAAACTACCGTTTATACTTAAATATCCACAAGCTGTAGACCTATTATATCCGATGATTTTTTATTTATGAAAAAGATAAAGGATCATTGTACTTATATAAATTCCTATATTATTATTATTATTAAAAATAAAGGTTACACTTCCGTATCTAATGAGGACTGTGGAGGTTCTTCTCAAGGCAGATTCCAACAAGTAAATACAATTAAAAATTATCTTATCTTACCATAACATCTACGAGGCCGTGAAATATTTCATTTGTATACAACCCATGTCAATACAATTAACATTAACCATATGATTCAAATGATTTTAAACAGTACGTGGTTCAAATACAGAGTATTCAAGTAAACAACACCCTTAATAACAAATAATGCTAATTGTGTCAAAAAATTTCTTAGAAATTTGTAAAATTCGTAGAAATATTAGGAGTATTTAAATAACACCATACCGAAAAAAAGGAAAATGAGTTCAATATAATTTGACCCAGTAAAATCAGCATTTTATTGTAAAAATACACAACTGGCAATAAAATCCTCGAAAACCAAATTAAAACATTTAATTATTTATAAACGATTACAAACTTCCAATGAGACACCAAAACAAATAAGTTTTCGATGATTTACAGACGTTTTAATAGAAAATCTTGAAACTGATTAAGAGTTTATGCAAAGATATGAACGGCACTATTTATGGAACTGTTAACGTTGTCGCAAGGAAAAATATTTTCTCATTCTAAATTTTAACTGAAAACTAGTAACGTTAACTACAAAGTCAGTCATATTTGAACTTTGAACTTGATATACTGAATATCATCTATAGCTCAACACAGCCATATAACAAACTATAACAACTGGTCCAGGTAAACTGTAACACCAGCAACATTGTCCGGTAATAACCATCGTTTACTGTACATTTTTTGCCCAAAACCATCAGTTAATAAAATCAGCATGTACTAGTAGTTCAATAAAAATGTAGAACATTAAAAATCCTACCGTTATCGCCTGCAAATCTAATTAAATGTAAATTTAAATTACATAATTTAAAATATAATATTAATAATAAATCAACACATTTCTGACTCGTACGCCTTTAAGAATTCCGACATATCAGTCACTAATCCATCTCAAAACGTAAACTCGTTACTGATAGAGGGCTCACTTCAATACTGCTGGGTCTCATGAGATTTTACTAGTACAAGTTCACGTCAACACCAGATGAAATTCAAAATAATTGTCTTCAACTCATGAAAAGCCTATCACACAGAAGCGAATTATTTTATACATTCCTCTGTACGTACCAAATATTTGATTAAATTATCAGTATATGCAAACTAGGTACAGATATGTAATAATTCTTTGTCAAATCTTACGGTTATATTTTTGATTGATGGCCCTATAAGTTAATATATACCTGGTAGTAAACAATACAAAAAATGTTCCGTAACTTTAAAATGTTGCACCATAGTATACTATATGCACTCAATAATGGAATTATATTTAATATACGTTTACTTAGGGTAAATGTTAATAAAAATGTAGCTGAACAAAAATGCGAGCCTAAAAAATACTATGATCAGTAAGATATTGGTACCGAAAATCCGTATTTCTTCATATTGACCCACAAATCTTTAATTGCATTTGTTAAAATTTATTAAAGTATACATTCAAATATATGTAATGATACACATGTACAGGACAATTATGTAAACGAGCACTTAAAATGAGAAAAATCATACATTTTAAGAGTGAATAAAATGATAAAAGTACTTGAACAAAACATGACCAAATCGATACCTGATTTGTGTCCAGATTAATTTGAACAATTAACAATTACAAATTAAAAAAACAAAAACAGTAATAAATATAAGCTAATATACAACTGAAGAATTCCAGATCAAATAATTATATAATAAATAATAATAATAATGCTAAAATATACAGTAATATTAAAATAACACAAATAAAATATTAACATATCTTAATCATTTTATACCTTATTACCATGTGTTAAAATATGGTTTTGAGATGTACTGAAATTCACCTATCATTAATCGTTTACTTGCCATGCAAACCTTCAAGAATTATTAGATAAAATATTAATAATCTTTAAAAAACATATACAGTTGGTTTATGCAATCATATAGGTTCCATCAATACTTGAATAGTTTAGGATTAGATACTGTAACCTATTTACTGAATCAATGGGGCAATAATTGCATCTGAAACGCTAATCCATTGAACTAATTGTGATCTGAATACTGAGTCACTCAAACAAGGACTGTACCTAGTAGTTCATACCAGCTGAGTCACAGATTAACTTTCTTGGCTTTGCTCAGCTATAGAAAAGGTCATGAGCACACATTAACAAAATCACACAAGCAACTACCTACACCTTTCAATGAGTGACTCATGTTTTGGTTAAATGCCATGTAAATGTTTAATCTGAGAAGAATTTTAAGAGTCACTTGATCTCTTTTCTTACTCATCTTATTCGTTGTTGACAGTAACATTATCCAATGAGACAATTTTACAGACCAATAGTTTAAATATTTATGGCAATTTTATTTTCTGTGGAAAACAAAATCTAATGTTACATACAATGTTCAGGACATTATTTCAAGTTAAATTTCAAGGATATAAAAATGACTATTAAAATATCACAATTAAAACCATTGATATCAACACATTCATCCCTTCTCTTGGTTCAATGCATTATGATTTATTCTACTGTATGATTGATATTATATCACATATGAGAGGACATAATAATTTTAACTAAATCTGTTAATGAGTTCTTCTTTTGGAAGGTATCAAGGTATTTTTTAAACAATAGTTAAAAAATATAACTTTTCGAAAGATTGGACCCGAAAAGCACAAAAATACTGTATTGCATTTTGAAGTGGATTGATCTCCAAACTTTCAATCTTGATATACAATCTTATGTTGGTGTTAAGTATTAAAAATCAAAATTGTTCTGATTGAAATTAATCACCTTTTTGAATTTCCAATAATAGTAAAAAAATAGGTTCTTAATTTAAGTGAATATAAATGTATGTAAATTGTTAACTTTGATTACATCATCCAAAATATCACTAAATAGGCCGATACATGTTACGACTCTTACACTTTGATGATGCCTTGTGTGACTACTGCATGTAGTTGGGCTGGGGCATTGAATAGGCCTGTTGCTGTGGTGTCAACAGATGATGATATTGCATTGCCTGACTATGATGGTGGAATTGGGGAGGGATGTACTGTTGAGGAGGGGGCTGGTGCATCTGCATTGCCATCTGCGGGGGCGCTGCCTGTCGCATTAGGTTTTGTTGAATGAATACCTGTTGGACCTGTTGATGTTGCTGTTGATGTTGCTGTTGCTGATGTTGTTGTTGTTGACGTTGTTGTTGCTGCTGTTGTTGTTGTTGCTGTTGCTGTTGCTGTTGTGCCTGTTGCTGCTGGGGCTGGGGCTGGGGCTGGGGCTGAGATTGGTTTGTCACACGTTGAGGACGAGGTGCTTGCTGGACTGTTGGAATTGGTTGCTGTTGTTGTGACTGTTGCTGCTGCTGATGTGGCTGTTGGTGTGGAATCATTACTTTAGAAACTGTTGTAACAGGTGACTTAGGAGAGCTAGGCTTCCTCTTTGGAGATTTTCGTTCTGTTGCATCTTTTGAAATTTTTTTCCCTCCAACTCGTTTCTTCCTCGGCGTTAACCCATGTCCTTTGTACCACTTAATCAGAGCCGTTAATTTATTCTGACTTATTCTAGAAAAGTGAAAATACAATATGTTGGTATAGTAATTAAAATAATGAATTATTAGCAATGATATTTGACTGATCAAAAAAAGAGGGAAGGAGTAGGCCTGCAGTTATCCATCGTCGCTTCAAGTAGTGTGTCCCTTTCTTTCAATTAAAGTAAATGCTGCCAGAGCCGCTAGTTTCTACCGTTTCTGTAGCATTAAGCACATGAATGGATTGGATACTAATCCATTGCAGGTATTCCCTGCAATTTGCTGGTACCCATTGGTACAGCTGGGTAGACTCAGGCCTAGTTCAGACTTTTCACTCCATCCCATGTAAACAAGTTAAAATAGGTGGATAAACCTGGCTCAACTTACCGGGTCTATCCACCTGCCAGTCTGAACTAGGTGGCTTATCTCAAGCCGGGCTGTGTTCCTATAGTAACTAGGCCTGGCGTGCCACCGTGTTATAACTTTTCTAAGCCGGGCTTTAATCGTTGCGGGGGGTCTTGCATGACTTTGGGTAACAAAATTACCAATCAGCATTCAATTACTTACACGGTCAGTGAGCGTACATTTCGCGAGCAATGTTTTTTTTTACTTTTCAAAATTTTAAAATATTTACCCAATAAACTATTACCAGGGGAAGATTTAGGGGGAGGGGGAAGCTGGCCCGGCCCTTTTGGGTTAGGGTTAAGAAAAAAAAGATAGCCCAGAACGCCTCAAATGTTATTTTCGGGCGTCTAGAATACAAACCCCTCCCCCCCCCCCCACACACCAGGATTGTAAACTGCACTGTGTGTGTGTGCGTGAATATTGTAAAGATGCATTGTATATTGTAAATTAATACTTACTTGTGCATGAATTTGAATGTAGCCCTACAGACTCTGTGATTCTCCACATAATACAGAATTCTCTGTTGTTGCCTTTCCTTCTGCTCTCTCCTACGAGTACAATTTGTTAATTTAGAGACATTAATTGTGCAACTTAACTTTCCAAGAAGTAGAAGATCTTTCTCATACGATGTAACATCTGACATTGAGTACCTAAGCTGTAACACAGCAGAATCATTGAATTGTCTTATGCATGATTCTCCTTCACCACCATACTTACAATCACATTTAAAATTTCTGATCAGTTCAATTTCCTTATCCATTCCTTCCCGTGGAGGTGTATCGAGGATGGCACTGGCCGAAGGCATCCTGGAAGTGCTCATCTCCGGTGAGATACCCATTAATTTCATCTTCTTTTTTTTGGAGGTTTTCTTCTTTCCTGGTTTGCGACTGTCTGTTTCTCCACCTTTTTCCGATTTTAGTTTCTGAATCATGTTTTTTCTTTTTCTCTTCTTTGCCAGCATTTTGCTGATTTGTGAGTCAGGACTGAATCCAGAGGAGCAGTGACTAGAATCCATACCATCTTCATTTTGCCTGATAACTGATGGGGGATGTTTGCGTGCAATGTCCATAAGAGTCAGCTCACCCCTGGTTAGAGCGTCAACTAATTCGTGCTTATTGGCTTGGGACATAGTCGGGGGCGGTGGCTGAGCCAAGAGGCTCGTCGGGTCGCTTGTCGTCGCGACTGAAGCCAGTGTTTCAAGAATTTGGAATTCTAGGCCTGGTTTCACATCGTCTTCCCTCACTTGTACGACAGAAGACTTACTTGTTGTTGACATTTCCTTGGAAAAGGCGACTTCAATTTGCCTATGGGTGGCTTCGTCATCTAATAGTCCGTAATTACTTTGATTTATTGTAGTTTTGGCCATTTCCAATTCAGTTTTCTTGAAGCCTTTCTTTCTGTAGAAAACGGCTCAATAGGCAATAGGTCAACAAAGTAAACATCGCCCTCTATAATTGACCGATGATCTGACCGTATTTCACTTACACACATACAAACACACAAACAGCAGATACTGTACTCGCTCACAGGTTGCAAATTTTTTTAACGTAGGATAATTTGGTAAAATATCATGAATTCAATCATCCTTATAGAACAATTTTGCTCATGCGCTATTTTATAAGTCTGTGCCGTGTCAGCCTCAATGACCAGCTGATCTGTGCATCGTGAGGGAAGTGTCTATTTAAAAAAAAATTAAAAACAGTTAAACTTAGATTTAAGGCGAACTGAGCGGATACAATTGATTAAAAAGCGGCGGCTCTTTTAATAATTTTAGATAGGCTACCATAGTCAAGATTAGATGAGCAGGCCTAATTCAACAAAGGGTCCAGTGCACAGTGGTCTTTGATACTTTAGGCCTACATTTGTTTGCAGAATTATGCAAGTATTTATCACGTAACATTAGAGCCTTCATCCAGTCTGTTACCGGTATCAACATCCAGTCTGTTTTAATATTAACAAGATATAAGTACACATAAAAATATTTGGTTAATATAATTATGATTCTTCTTACTAATAGTAGACACGTCCGATCATATTTCGACTTGCAACTAGTTGTAAAATTCTTTTAAAGCTAGTGTTATACTGTCATGTATCGTATACTGATTAAATTGTAGGCCTATATTTTAAATAGTAATTACAAATACTTTTGCAGTAGGCTATTTCGTAGGCCATGCGTTGAATTTATTTGTTGACTTGATATTTTATTTTTTTCGGGCGAAAACTTCAGTTCTTAGAAAAATCTGATTTTTACATAATATATGGAGTTATAAAGGTTTATAAATACAATACGGAATTGCTGGTTTAACTGAATTTAGACATTCCTAAAACATGTAAAGACTGAAATTTTGCCGGGAATGGGGTTTTTACAAATATTTCAAAGTATAAAGAAGGTGATTTATGTTATGCAACTTGTTTATTTTCTTTTGTAAGTATGTTACACATGCCTATGAACAAAACAGGATTTATTGTGTTTAGGCCTATTATATTGCATGATATACGGATCATCTATGATGGATGAATCCTTCGCGTTAAACCTCCGTGCCAGTCGGACCGTGGTATATATGAGTATAGCCTAATTTGTTCAGCTTTTAAATTCGCAGCCGCATCGAGCCAAGTTTCCGTAGCTTATGGAATTTACTGAAATTTAATCAACTTTAATTGAACAAATAAATAATAAATAAAATAAGGCTTGAAACAAGCGCATGCGCAAAATGTGTTCTATGAAGATTAGTATGAATAATTCATGAGATTTTACCAAACTATCCTACGTTAAAAAATCGCTCACAGCTAGCCTTAGTTTAGCACATGTCGCATCGGAAATGTGGTTATTGCTGAACACAACAAGCGGTAATTAATACCTTTATTTTCTTATGTGGGCCCTATGGCTATGCTTACAACTGATATTAATTTTTACTA